CGACCAGCATGCCCGCGCCGCCGCCGTAGCGTGGCGGCGTAAAACGAGGGGACAGAGTCCAAGACGAGCCCCGCAGCAGCGGGCCCGCGGAGAGTGACGTCCAGCTAGTGTGAGTGCCACTGTGCTGAGTCGACGGGAGGGGGAACAAAGGGCTCACTGTGCCGCTCGTCTGTTTGGCCGCCTTCGCGCGGCATTTTCGACCGGGGCCACCATCGGCTTTTGGCTCTGGGAGCCTCACTGGCCCGGGGCCTCCGCCTGCTGGTCACTGACCCGTTGTGCCCACAATGCCCGCAGCTTGTCAGGGCCTGCGAGGACTGCTGATTATCCCTCGGTAATTGGGGCCCGGGCTCGGGGCTGATCAAAGGTGCCCGGCTGATTGCGGAGCCCTGGTAATTTTCCACTCTCTGATGCTCCGCTGTCTGTGCCTGTTCATCCGTCCGGCTGCGCGCCTGTTTGCTCATGCTCCGGCTTTGGACATGGGAGGACAGGCCTGACGGCCGCTGGCTTAATTATTTCTGGCTTCCTCATAAGAAGTGACAGGGCCAGAGTGTTCCTTTGTTTTGTTTTTTTCCCCTTCTTCTGGGCTGAGCTTTCCCCTTTGATACACGATAAGCGAGGGTTGAAATTTGGGTCCGGCTTAAGTTTCCAGAATCCAGGCTGCGAAGCCGCCTCACGTCCAGCTGTCATGTGACCGTGCAAAGCTTCTTTCTGTCACAGCTACACCTCAGTCATGCGCCGGGTGGGTTTAAAATTCTTCAGAACTCTCTGCCTTTGCTGATTAGGCTAATGTCTGCTGCAGGGTGTGTGAAACGCACCTCGTTTCATCGCACATAAAGCCCTCCGTCAGGCCGACCAGGCGACGTGTGGAACATTGTGGTAAATGCTTGTAAAATAACAGATAACTGGTCATTAATACTACGATTATCCTCTGTGCAGTGCAGAACCACGGCTTCTTTGGGTGAACTTTGTCCCAGGGTGATCTCATCCTTTGTGATGGTCTTGGAGGCCAGAGTCCGTCCTAATTACGCGCCTGATTGTAAATTCCCAATTCTTTATTGTCATTCAGGTGCCCAGATAACACGGCTCCAGTCAGTAAATCACACTCAAATGAACACTCATCGACTAGTTGCATGCTTAAACTGGAGCCGGGGAGTGTTCATTTTTCCAAACTGTGGCTCTGCTTTCCCCCGTCTCGACAAATTGGAGACGAGCGTTCGTCTCGTTCAATGTGTGGATTCTTTCTGCCTTTTGACTCTTGCCCACTTCCCCCCCTCCTTTGTTTTTAGCTCTGAACTTTGTCACAACTGAGCCTGTTTTTGGCTTTTGGGGAGCTGGTGAGAACGCAGGAAGGAGATTTGTAGCCGCGCGCCCTTGTGTGTCTCGGCCCAGTCGGTCGGGGGCAGCGCAGCGACTGCACGTCTGTCCGCTCAGCAGGAAGTTCTTGTTCTACTCCATCCTCTCATCACTCATGTGGTTAGACAAATACCGCCGCTGACTCGCACGCACGCGCAGAATCGGCAAGTGCCGCCGAGTGTGGGCTCCGCGCCCGTCACTCACCAGTATCTCTACTTTGAGTTTTAAAAACCTTTGGAAACACGTCGCCTCTATTTCAGTCATTCACATTCTTGCAAACCTGTGTAAGTCTGCTCTTAGATGGCACTTTGCTCACTCGTGTGTGTCCTCCCTATGATCCTGTGTGTGTAATCATTTTGGGTTTATCCTAAGTGACAAGTATGCTCCCCCCCCCCCCCCCTCCCGCCCAGTCTTCATCTGATGCATTGTGATGTGTCAGAGCATGTGTGAAAGTCAGAAGCTTGCAGTTTTGAAGGCCCTGTAAGAATACATTTCCCTCTCCCGCAGTCATCTCTGGATGATGATAGAGACAGCAACAGTGACAGAT